TTCTTTTTAACTGTTTTACATATTTAGGTGCTTCAAGTTGGAGGCATAAATATTTATGCCTTGTTATATGTTCTTGTTGGATTGTCCTTTTTATGATTATATAGTGTCCCTCTTTGTCTCCTGTTACAGTCTTTGTTTTAAAGTCTTCTTTGTTCAATGTAAGTATTGCTACTCTGGATTTCTTTTGACATCCATTTGCATGATAGATGTTTCTGCACCCTCTCACTTTGAATCTGCAGGTGTTTTTAGGTCTAAAATGAGTCTTGTAAGCAGTATATAGATAGGTTTTGGTTTTTATAATCCATTCTGTCACCCTCTATGTCTTTTGATTGGAGTATTTAGTCTATTTGCATTTAAAGTAATTATATATATGTATCTATTTATTGCCATTTTAATACTTGTTTGCGGGTTGTTTCTGAAGATTTTCTCTGACCCTTGTTTTTCTTTCATGGTTTACTTGTTTTCTTTAATGATATATTTGGATTTCTTTCTCTTTATTCTTTGCTTATTAGTGGCTTCTGATTTGTGGTTACCATTAGGTTTGTATGTAACACCTGTGTATAGTCGCCTTTATTTAGTTGATGGTTATTTAAGTTTGAACCCATTCTTTTTTTCTTCTCCTTACCCTGTTTTAGGCATATGGTGTCATATTTAAGATCCTTTTATTTTGTGAGTTTTTTGATTGAATTTTTTACAGAAACATTCATTTTTACTGCTTTTATGGTTCCTACCTTTATATATCACTTTTGGTCTTTACTTTCCACTCAAAGAGTTCCCCCCGCTTTTTAAAATTTTTTTTTAATATTTATTTATTTTTGAGAGACTGAGACACAGCACGAGCAGGGGAGGGGCAGAGACAGAGGGAGACACAGAATCCGAAGCAGGCTCCAGGCCCTGAGCTGTCAGCACAGAGCCTGATGCGAGGCTTGAACCCTTGAACCATGAGATCATGACCTGAGCCAAAGCCTGATGCTCAATCAACTGAGCCACCTGGGTACCCCTCAAAGGGTCTCCTTTAATGTTTCTTGCAGGGCTGGTTTAGTGGTCATGAACTTTAGTTTTTGTTTGGGAAACTCTTTATCTCTCCTTCTATTCTGAATGATAGCCTTGCTGGAGACAGTATTCTCAGCTGCAGATATTTTCCATTCAGCACTTTGAACATATCATGCCACTTCCTTCTTGCTTGGTAAGTTTCTGCTGAAAAATTCCCTGATAGTCTTATTTGGTTTCCCTTGTATGTTACTATTTTCTTTCGTCTTGCTGGTTTTAAAATGTTTATCACTATATTTTGCCAGCTAAAATATATCATGCTGTTGATGTGGTTTTGTTGTTATTGGGAGTTCTTTGTGCCTCCTGGATCTGGATATCTCTTTCCTTCCCCAGATTAGGGAAGTTTTCAGCTATTATTTCTTTAAATAAATTTTCTGCCCCCCTTTGTCTCTCTTCTTCTGGGACTCCTATAATACGAAGATTATTAGGTTTGACGGAATCAGTGAATTCCCTAAGTCTGTTCTTACTTTGCATAATTCTTTTCTCTATCTTTTGTTCAGCTGGGTGACTTTCCGTTACTCTCTATGCTAGGTAATAAATTTTTTCCTCTGCTTTTCCAGCCTGCTGTTCATTCGATTAAGCGTGTTTCTCATTTCATTTAGTGAGCCCTTTATCTCTAATAAATTATTCCTTATCTCTGTGTTAAGGGTCTCACTCATGCCTTCCATTGTTTTCTCAAGTCCAGTGATTCTCTTTAAGTATTACATTGAATACTCCAACAGCCATGTTAACTACATCTGTTTAACTTATGTTTCTGGCCAGGGCTTTGTCCTGTTCTTTAGTTGGGGACGAATTCCTCTGTCTTCTCATTTTGTCTAAATCTCTGTGCCTGCTTCTATATGTTAGGAAAGTCATCTACGTCTCCTTTTCTTTCAGGTAATGGCCTTATGAAGAACAGGTCCTATAGTTCCCTACTGTGTAGTGTTCCCTGTTCCTCAGGGCCTGGCAATTCAGCAAGTGTGTTTAAGGTGTGTTGCATTTGTTCTGCTGTTGTGTCCTAGCTGTCTGCAGAGTCCAGTTGTCTGCAGAGGCTCTCTTTTCTTGTTGTGGGCAGTGTTTGGTTCCTGGCCTGAATATGACAAATTTTAACTAGGTGTGCCCTGATCTGCTTGTGAAATGAGACCTGTTGCTGCTGCCACTGGAACCGAGGCCCTTCAAATCTCCTGGACTGGGAAACGTGGTGTGGGCAGGGGTTTGGGCCAGTCTTCTGGGGAGAGGGCCTGCCATGCTTGGACTGAGGTAAGTTGACTAGAAAGGGGGATCCCCCAGAGTTTGGAGGGCAAGGCTTGATGTAAGCAAGTTACATAGCGAGGGTCTGCTCTGCACTGGTTCCTGCATGTGGCCCTGTGCTTAAACTGAGAGGCAGGAGAGGGAAATGGTGCTTGCCAGTTCCTTTGTTCACAGAGTGATCTATGAATGGCACCTTTCTGGTGCACACTCTGAGAAAAGCAAATAACCCTCCCATGCACTCTTGAGATTGCTGTGTCTACCGTGTATGTCCATAGGCTGTTGGCTGTGCTTTATCTTCACTGGTATCCCCAGTGTCCTGCAGGCTCTATTCAAACCAAGCCTGTTGACTTTTAAAACTCCAGGCTTTAATTCACACTGGTTGCAAGAACTAATGAAATTCGGCCCCTGTTGCTTTGCCAGACAGTTGTTATGGGAATTCATTTTACCTTTGTGGACTCCCCTATATGTTAGTCTTTATCTCTCCCTTGTCTGAAATGATGTCTCCCTCCTCACCACCGTGGCCACTCTTCATTTCTCTCCCAAGCTATGTCTCTGCCCTTGCTACCGTCTTCACTGTAGCCTCTTCTCTATCTGTAGTTGTGGAGTTTGTTGTGCCAGTGTTCAGGTCCATTTCTGGGGAACTTCAGATGTTTGGTTTTTTTTAATTTTTTAAAATATTTATTTATTTTTTGAGAGAGAGAGTGAGACAGTGTGAGCGGGGTGGGCCAGAGAGAGGGAGACATAATCGGAAGTAGGCTCCAGGCTCTGAGCTGTCAGAACAGAGCACAACGTGGGACTCGAACTCATGGACCGTGAGCTCATGACCTGAGCTGAAGTTGAACGCCCAGCTGACTGAGCCACCCAGGCGCCCCTTGATGTTTTAATAGTTACCTAGTTGTATTCATGGGATGAGGTGAGTCTAGAGTCCTCCTACTCTGCTGCCATCTTCCCTTCAGCCCCACTCAAAATAAAATCATTTAAAAAATAAAACCCAAGCCTTTTATCTAGTGGAGGAGTAGATCTCTTTCAATTTTCTTGGCCTATAGATAGCAAGAGAAGAACTGGAGGAATAAAACCACAAGCAGTGGCAAAGACCCTCAAATTTTAAGCCCTGGCACACGTGGTTCTGTGTGTCTAGATAGCATATTTTGTCTTTAAATGTTGTTCAATGACCATTGCCTGCCTTTCCTTTGAAAACGTTTTCTTGTGGAAATTAACCTTGTTATGTATCTTGCATGGATTTTAATGTCAAATCAGTGAATAAGGGAAAATTTATGAAGTGCATGATGTTGTGAAAAATTATGGACATTTTATGGCTTACTCTCCCCACCAAAATAGCCATTCAAGTGGGAAAAACACCTCTCACAGTCAACCATCTTGGAACTCTGGAACCCAATCAGGCAGTAAAACAACCAGGGAAGTGCTTAATGAAAGGAGAGGCTTTTGAATTCAGTAAAAGTGACATGACAGCTACCAACCCCCCTTTCTTCAGCCTTGCCATGATTGTGGTGATAGTAGTCACCATTTCTAGAGTAGCTGGCTACTGCCAGGGCAGGCAGTGTTGACTTCATCATCCAAGTTTTGGAGACGGTGCATTTTGATCAGTCTGGTTATCCTGTGAGTGACCAGTAAAGGTGTTTCCTTTTGTTTCAGCCCCCTTGGATTGCAGTGGCTTCCACAGCTGTGGCTACTATCAAAAGATTTAGAGATGCTTTCTTTTTTCTCATTTGGATGCAGGCATTTACATAGACTCTGTTAGGTCTCTGCCTGACTTGTGGGGATACTGGAAGAGAAACATCCCCTGGATGACTACAGACTTACTTAGCAATAAACTTAATCAAGGAGGCATAAGACTTTAGTGTGCCAAAATGACAAAAGATTGCTGAAAAAAATAAGACCTAAATAAATAGGACATTCCATATACATGGGTTGAGAAACTTAATATTGTTGAGATGACAATACTACCCAAAGCAATCTGGAGTTTATATTGAATCCCTATGAAAAATAGCCTTCTTTTTTTTTAAATTAAAACTGAAAAACCCTTCCTGAAATTCAAAAAGAATTTCAAGGGACTCTTGATAGTCAAAACAATCTTGAAAAGAAAAACAAATTTGGTGGATACAAAGTTCCTGATTTTAAAACTTAGTACAAAGCTACAAAAATTAAAAGTCTGGCATTGGCATGAGGGTGGACATATAGGCAAATGAAATATAATTCAGAGCCCAGAATTATGTCATCACATTTATGGTGAAATGATTTTCATCAGTGGGGGCAAGATCATTCAATGGTGGGGGAAGAACAGTCTCTATAGCAAATGGTGCCGGGAAAACTGGACATCCACATGGAAAAGGACAAAATTGGACCTTTACCTTACACAATATACAAAAATTAACTCAAAATGGATTAAAGACCTGAATTTTAGAACTAAATAAATGACTTTTAGAAGAAAACATAGGGACCAATTTTCATGACCTTGGATTTGGCAGTGATTTCTTATATATGACACCATAAGTATAGGCAATAAAAAAATACATTGGACTGCATCAAAATTTAAAACCTGTATGTTTCAAAAAATACCGTCAATAGAATAAACAGATTGCACAGAACAGGAAAAAATATTTGAAACCATATATCTGAAAAGGGTGTAATATTCAGAATATATGAAGAATTGCTTCCACTCATTTTAAAAAACAAAATTCTTAAATGGGCTAAAGCTTGAATAGACATTTCTCTAAGAAGACATACAAATGGCCAATAAGCATAGAAACAATGCTCAGCTCTGCTATTCATTAGGGAAATTTACATTGAAACCTCAGTAAGATACCTCTTCATACCCAGTAGGAAGGCTGTTACCAAAAGAAAAAAAGAAAAAAAGGGGAGGGAGGGAGAGAGGTCAGCAGAAGTAGAAGAAAAGAAAAAGGATATAACAAGTGTTGGCAAATAAATATGTAGAGAAATTTGAACACTCTTACATTGCTGGTAGAACTGTGAAATGGTATAGTTGCTGTAAAAAACAGTTTGGCAGTTCCTCAAAAAATTAAATATTGTAACTCCATTCCTAGGTGTATACCGAAACAGGGACTTAAACAGATTCTAATACACCAGTGTTCAAAACATTATTCACAGTTACTAAAAGGTAGAAACAACCCAATTGTCCATCAACAAAGTAACTGATAAACAAAATTTGGTATATCATTAAACAGAATCTAGTATGTCCATATAATGGAATGTTACTTGGCCAAAAAAAGGAATAAAGTTCTGATACACGCTACAAAATGGATAGATGTTGAAAACATTAAGTGACATAATCCATATATAAAAGGGTGATATAATTCTAAAAGTTAGATGATTTGTAAAGACGTTAATTAGAGGTTATCAGGGTTAAGATGGGGGAGAGGCACATGTGCTATTACTATATGGGTACAGAATTTCTTTTTGGGATGATGAAAAAATTCTGGAAATAGTGATGATGGTTATACAACATCCTGAATGTACTTAATGCCACTGAATCATACTGGATGTAGTTGTTAACTTTTATGTTGTATGTGTATAGGAATAAGACCTTAATGTGGTTATTGTTTTTGAGACTCCTTGCTCTAACTTACAAATGAATGATAAAACTTTGGTTTTCTTTGTTTTGATTCTTAACTTAATGTTTAATCTTATTTAGGTTTTCTGCATAGATTCTTTTCCTTTGAAAACAAAATGTGACCATCCATTGGGAATATTCTAATATTTTAGTATTACTTTAATAAATTAATGAGATTTTTTCAAATGCAAACTATTCTCAGAAGAATCTGATGACACTGGCATAGTTTTTTTGGGATATGCTTAGGCTTGGCTGAACTGGGGTCAGGAGGCTGAGAGTTTAGAATATGGAATATCTAGGTCATAGTAAACCTGGAAGACTAGTGGAAACAGTAGTAAATTTGTATTCCACAGGCAAAGGGATTCAAATTACACCTTTAACATTACTGAAATAATAGTTCTAAAAACATAATTAATGTTACCTTTTTGGATAGGATAGGATAGGATAAACTGCAACAGCAACAAACCCCTGTATTTGTTTGGCATCATCTTCTCATTAACAATCAGCATCAAGAGAGATTAGAAACTTTCCTTTTCATTTAGTCCCAACCTAAATACCCCAAAGGCGAATGTAGGGTTTGTGTGAGGATTTAAGTTTTGGCTCTTTTAAACAGCTATATTTTAAATATTTCTTCACAGTGAGTTAGGTGATGTTTCAAGTAAGGTTAGACTCACTATAGTTAGGCTTCACTCTGTTTCAAACTAAGGGAAAGTTGTGTTTTTTTTTTTTTTTTCTAATAGACGAGGTATTTATAGGTTTTTGAGTTTTCACAGTATTGGCAAAATTCAGTAGTAGAACTCTCAACTTGGGTAATGGCATCAGCTTTGATGCTAGTGTTGTGTACCAACTGTGGAAAGTATTGTGTGTTCTCAAGTAGTTCATTTAACTCACTGTCAGCATCTGGAAATGGGAACAATATTCCCTACTACGTGGGATTCATATGAAGATAAAATAAGAAAGAATGAAAAGTGCTTTACACAATATCTAATACATTGGAAATTATCATTAATGGTAGTTGTCACTATTGATTAAATATCATTTACCTTTCCTGCCTTTATGCGGTTTTGTGAATATTAGATGAGTTAACATGAAAGCTTTTTAAAATTGGTAAGGTGGTATGTAGGTGAACATTTGACAATTGAAGATCTTTTTCTCTTTTCTGAACTTTTTATTTTCACTATTATAAAATAAGTGTTTAATATTATACTATTTACATTCGGTTTTGTTTTGTTATTTTATGGATGTTAATCTCAACTCCTAAACAAGAATGTGTATGTTGCTTCAGGATAGCTAATGTTTCTTAGCTCATATTTCTCTTCAGTCTCCTATGTATAGCATGGCGCTATGTTACTTGCGTGAAAAACACAGTAAACATTTGTTTACTTTTAGTAATTGGTCTTTTCTAAGCAGGCCCTTAAGCATATCATAATTGCAATTAGAATTAACAGTCACCCTGAACATGTGGCTGCTGCTATGCTCTTGAGAATTCCCATTACTGGAAGGTGACCTTCAAGTATATCCCACTGGATACTGACCTGACAAAAGTGATTCATACCTCTAGCCAACAACACAGATCTCTGCAGTGTGTCCTGCTTTCCAAGCCACACTAAAACTAAAGCTACTGAAATAAGTAAAGCATATTATTTGTTTAATGAGGATATTATTTACTAAATAGAAAATATTATTACCCAAGCCTATTTTTAGAGTTGGATTAATATTTCCTGTCACGTACAATATCAGATACTGTTTCCTCTAAAAAACTTCTTTATCCAAATACAATTTTCAGGAAATTAGCACAGTACACACCCTATAATATGTTGGGGTGTGTGGGGGGGTATGTGGAATTAATGATAAAATGAGATTGAGTCAGTAGCTAAGAGCCTAACTTTGAAGTACAAAAGTTTTGAATTCTCAACTTTGCTATTTATTAGTTATGTGACTGTGGGGGATGTAGTTTAATTTTGTAAGACAAAGTTTCTTCTTTGGTTTTATGGGCATTATAATAGCCATCTCATAGGTTTTTTGTATTAAATGAAATAATCGATTTACAGCACTTAGCACAATACCAGATACCTACTAAATACACATTAAGAGTAATTTTAATTGCAATAACATTTTTAGCCTCAAAATTACTTAAAAATTACTCTCAAGTAGGAAATTTCAAGAAAGGACAGCTCCCACATTGGTCATTGCAAGTGCTCAGTGGCGTGATGAGAATTCAAATCTCATTATTGTACTCTGCTATCCTCAAAATGTTGGTCCTTGTCTTCAGACTAGGTTTTCTCAGGGTCAGAGGTGACCACTATAGTTTTAGTCTTCAATTAATCCAGCCAAAGAAAACACCATCTCTCCACATAGGTTTCCTTTTAAGAACAAGAAAATCTTTTTTGGAAACCTTCTAACACACTTGCCTCCAGTACTCATTTACTGAGTTAGATACTCACTTCCTAAATGAACACAGGTGAGGAGAAAGGGATTATGGATTACCTAGGGGTGTGCTTAAAGAAGCCAAGATTTCACAAAGCAAGAAAGAATATCCAACAGAAGAAAGACAGTCTTTTCAACAAATGGTGTTGGGAAAACTGGACCACTTTCTTACACCATGCACAAAAATAAATTAAAAATGGATTAAAGACATAAATATGAGATAGGAAACCATCAAAATCCTAGAGGAGAACACAGACATCTCTTTGACATCAGCCATAGCAACTTCTTTGTTTTTAAAACTTTTTTAATGTTTAATTTTGAGAAAGAGAGTGTGCAAGCACAAGCGGGGGAGCAGCAGAGGGAGAGAGGGAGACAGAGGATCTGAAACAGGCTCCAGGCTCTGAGCTGTCAGTACAGAGCCTGATGCAGGACTCAAACTCAGGATCTCTGAGATCATAACCTGAGGCTGAAGTCAGATGCTTAACTGACTGAGCCACTCAGGCACCACCAGCCATAACACTTTCTTACTATATATGTCTCCTGAGGCAAAGGAAACAAAAGCAAAAGCAAGCTATTGGGACTTCATCAAAATAAAAAGCTCTGCACAGCAAAGGAAGCAGACAAGAAACTAAAAGACAACCTACTGAGTGGGAGAAGGTATTTGTGAATGACCTATCTGATAAAGGGTTAGTATCCAAAAGATAGGAAGAACTGAACACCCAAAAAACAAACCACACAGTTAAAAAATGGGAAGAAGGGGTCTCATTTGGTTAAACATCCAACTGTTGGTTTCGCTTTAGGTCTTGATCTCATGGGTTGTGAGATTGAGCCCTATATCAGCTTCCTGCTGACAGTGCAGAGCCTGCTTGGGATTCTCTCTTCTCTCTCTGTTCCTCCCCTGCTCATGCTCTCTCTGTTTCACAAAAGAAGATATCAGATGGCCCGTAGACACATGAAAAGATGCTTATCATCATTATCATTAGGGAAATACAAATCAAAACTACAATGAGAGATCACATTAATATCAGATTGGCTAAAATCGACGACATAAGAAACAGCAGGAATTGGCAAGGATGTAGAGAAAAAGGAATCCTTGTGCACTGTTGGTGGGAATGCAAACTGGCACAACCACTCTTGAAAAGCATATGGAGGTTCCTCACAAAGTTAAAATAGAACTACCCTGTGATCCAGCAATTGCACAACTAGGTGTTTATCCAAAGAATACAAAAATACTAATTCAAAGGGGTGCATGCACCGTGCTGTTTATAGCAGCATGATCAACAATAACCAAATTAGGGAAAGAACCCAAATGTCCATCAACTGACAAGTGGATAAAGAAGATGTGGTATATCTGTATACAGTGGAATATTACTCAGCCATATAAAGAATGAAATCTTGGTCATTTGCACTGAAGTGGATGGAGCTAGAGAGTATTACGCTAAGCAAAATGAGTCAGAGAAAAATACCGTATGATTTCACTCACATGTGGAATTTAAGAAACAAATGAACAAAGAGGGAAAAAGGGAGAGAGAGAGGCAAACCAAAAAAAAAAAGACTCTTAACTATAGAGACCAAACTGATGGTTACCAGAGGGGAGGTTGGTGGAGGGATTGTTAAATAGGTGATGGGGATTAAGGCATGCAATTGTTGTGAGGAGCATTGGATGTTTCATGGAAGTGTAGAATAATTATATTGTATAACTGAAAATAATATACTGTATGTTAACTAACTGGAATTTAAATAAAAAGTTAAAAAGAAAAATCGAGATTCATCCCTGAGTTTTTGGTTGTGTCACTTTTTTAAAGAGTGGATGCTAACACAAAATTGGCGTCATTTAACTGGGGGAAAGAGGTGTATACCATGGCTATTATCTGCATAATAGAATATTTGCTATTTCTTTTTAATCCTCAGATGGAGATTCAGATGTCTAACAGCTCAGTTACTTGCCAGTGTCATCCATGAGTTACATTATTGTCATTGGTTTATTAGACAAGTAATGCCAATTCCATTCTTTTTTCACTCTTTTAAAT